AAAATTGACTGATTAATTTTCGGAGATCACCGTTGCCTAGAATCGTTCGTCTGTTTTGCGTGATTTGGTGTTGCCACAAGCATTCACATCTTTCGTTTAGCTCTCTGTGCATCTGAGCCGTGATCCTTTAACTGAACGCTTGTAGTCTTTCGGTATGCATCCGTCAACGCCGAAGTCCATCAGTCATCCGTCAGTCGCATGAGGTAGGCCTCCGTAGTTTAACTCGAGCTGCATGCAGGGAGCCGATGGCCATTTTTGTTATTGCTTTCCATGTTGCTCGAACTTGATAAATGACTTTCTTTTACTTCCCCACTTGCCAGGCTTCCTCCACAGAAGGTCCGTTTGCCTTTCACCCGGCTAAATGGGTTTCAGGTTTCAGGGCTGCTCTGTGATTCATAGCCCACTCTGAGTTTTCCTCGGTGGGTTCCAGCACAGCCATCTCTTCAACGGTTACTCCTCCCCATCACTCAGTGGCCTCTCATCTCGAGGATGCATTGAAACACAACAGATATGAAAAATTCCATTTTCTTTTCAAAAGGTCGGCAATGTCTTTCAACGGTATTTCTTAATTTTTGACCATCCAAGTGATACATACAACGTTAAATACTTTTTGGTTCATCACATCATTCATCCATCGTGGTTCTGATGCTGGACCATGAGGCCTGAAAACTGTTCAGAAGTGATGAATAGAATGGGAACCGTAGCCAATGTTCATTCTTTCAGATGTTTAGTTAGAATCTACCCCTCCTACGCAGATTTGCTTCAATAGGGTAATAGATCTAAAGGACTTGGCTTTTGAAGTTATGGCAAAATCATATCAGTTTCTTCATCAATCAATCAACTTAAATCATTCAAGCAACGGTATGAAATGGCAATTTATTCATAGTACAATAAAGTTTCATCATAAATTTTAAATAGAAAATTTACAGAATATGGAAGGTAATGATTAAAATATGCACATATATACGCAATGCAAACATTATGATAATTTGATTACCGACCACTACCAAAAGGTACGATTGATCATATTGCTTGTATCATGTATAAGTAAACTGTATTATGTGGCTTTCAGTTAAGTGTCTACAGAATAAGCCATTAAAAATGGACCTGCTCTTTCCTCTGGCTCCTGGAAACGTAAGCAAAAGTGTGAAAAGCAAAACCGACTGGCGACACATCCCTGCATGGAGCGCGATAGCCTTATACTAATTTACAGTTCCCGGATACTCATAAGTTGCGTTCATAAGCTTCGTGTACACCAGGCGATCACAGTAGGCCAGAAAGCAAGTTGTCTCGATCTTGTTCATTGTTCTTCCAGCAAATATTTCGTTAGGACATTGCCAATTCTGCTGATACAGGAAATCATCTCCATTCTTCTTCATGCTGGGAAGTTCTTTCTCAAAAAACAAATCATATTTTGGAAGTTATCATTGTCCATTGTTACAAAATACCAAGTTCATACAATGATAACTGGGGTCAATCTGTAACTAGTACTCTTCGCTTACATGAACGTGCTTACACCAGTCTTCAGCATTAATACGTTGTTTCATAAGACATTGCAGCAATTTTGAAAGGTGAAGACTTCGCTCGGCTGACGAACCGCAACCTTCTGTTGAATGGCCTGTCGCACTTGGCAATGCAATGCGCGTTTGCATTTCGCTGTTGAGGACAAATTAACTACCGTACAAGAACCTCCAAATCCCAAGCACCCTCATGAAGACTCGCCTTAAGTGCAATAGGCAACGGATATCAGTGATTCAACAGACGAAGTCATCGAAGCATTAATAACATGAAAAGTGACTATGATGCTTTAGTCGATAAAATCATTCCTCAGATGCTAAAGCTTTAAGGGAGTTAGGCACAATGTGAATCACACGAGACTTTGAAACTATAGTGACTTAGAGGAAGGCATTGGTGATCTGGATAATTAGGGGGTGGTAACCATGTTTATGAAGGGAAACAACAGGAACTAATTCAGCCATCAAAGTGTTAACTTATTGAGCCTCTCGGGAGAAAGTCTACGAAAAAGTGTTCGATAGAATGGGCAAGGTATAGTTTACTCTTAGTCCAAGAAAAGCAGCGCAGATTCAGGTCAGGAAAAAGCACCCCTAACTAGATGAACATAAGATGCAGAAGACTGTTCAGAAATCCTGGGAGTTACTTCATCATGTTTACATGTGCTTTGTGGACCTGGAGCAAGCACATGACTTGATCTCCGCAACAAGCAATTGGCATGCATGGGATCGAAGACCAGTCGCCATCAGCCATAAAATCAATATATGGCGATAGCGGATGATGTGTCACGGTAAATAGCGTCGTGGCAAATAGTTTCAAAGTTAGCCCTGGTTACCTATCAAGCTCCGTTCTGTCCTATCACTCGACTGCGTTGTACATGGACAGCATCATCAGGCCCAATCATGGCGAAGAGTGTAT